CTGGAGTATTGTTTTCCTGAAGTACTCATGAGAGCCCAAGTGTTGGCCAAGATTGGCGGAGTTGCTTAAGCTCTAAAGTCAAGGTATGTGTATTCAAGGTCCCTTCCTCGCTCCTAGGAGTTCAAATCTTAGGATACTCACTAGGGAAGTGTTGAAAACCTTGTGCACTAATGTGTTAGTTCAAACCTTTGGATACTAGCATTTAAGTACTAAGACTTTCATTTACTGTTCAGATTTCATGTTGAAGATCCGCTCGCATTAGTGGGGGATTGTTGGAAATAGTAATGCAATCGGATGACTCGCGCCCGATCGGGCGGCTCTCGCCCGATCGGGCGAAGGTGGTCAAGGAAAAAACGGGAACTCTCGCGCCCGATCGGGCGGCTTCGCCCGACCGGGCGACGGACAAGAGTTTTTCTACGAGATCTCTCGCGCCCGATCGGGCGAGCTTCGCCCGACCGGGCGGCGGACTCAAGGTTTTGACGAGCCCGATCGGGCGGCTTCGCCCGATGGCTCGCCCGAAATGGGGATTTCAGATCGCCCGATCGGGCGCGAAGCTACGTCTGGAAAAATCTGATCTCGCGCCCGATCGGGCGGCAGCTCGCCCGATCGGGCCCGCCTTTTTTCCTAGGTCGGTTTGATTACGTGTTTCCTATTTCCAGGACTCATATAAATACGAGTCATACCTTTTTCATGATATTTTTCACTTTCTAGCAAAAAACACAAACCTACCTTTTGAGATCTGAACAGTTCTTGAGCAATTCCACTCTTCGAGTTCGGGTGCACGGATTACGGAGAGAGTTGCGTTAAACTTGGGGGGCGTGCGTCACTAGGAAACTTGTACCGGTGGTGGCGTATTTCGCTTCTAAGGCAGTGGATTATTGTTCCACGGCGCGACTGTGAGTTTGGGATCTTCAATCCAGGAAAGTTCTAATCTTTTGTTTGTTATTGATTTCAACAATTATTTTACCAACAATTATTACAATTGATAATCAAGGTCTTGTCATTAATGCATGAGATGATAATCATGATATATATTATTGACCGTGTTTACCTTGATATTAACCAATCTAAATAGTTGGTTTAATTTGAAATGAAGCGATGCTATAGTGCTTTAATGATTTGAATTAGTTGTATGCCTATGATGTATGGTACAACAGATTCTTAATCAAAGATATACGGATATACCCTAGACCGATTATTGCTTTCAACAATACTAACTCAAGATTGAGGATCGGAACAACTTATCCATATGTGATTAACTTGGAAAATCAGTGTTTGCTTGCCCTGCTTAATTAAGCTATATGTGGTAGGTGTGGCTTTGCCACGGTTTGTACCCCCTAGTTTCTTTTTTCGTTTGTTTTCCCCTTTTCCGGGACCTAGCCCCTCGTTTGCACAGAAAAAAAAAAAAAAAGGCATATGCAGGTTACTTTATGCAAAAAAATTAATTAATTTACGCTAGCTAGTTATCTCCCCTTTCATTAATAGAGGATAAATGGCCGAATTTATTTTAAAGGTGATATTTAAAAACGGGTGGTTAGATCAAAAAGTGATGTTTTTAGGGGCGATAAAATACTTCGTACCCTGTTTAAATTTATTTACAGTGCTTTAAATGGAAATAGGACAGCAATAGTAGAGTACACAATCTCGAGCTGACCCCCATTCATCCTCAAGATAAACAAGATTGTTTATCATAGGGGCATATTGTAAATAAAGTGAACAGTGGTTGTTCCACATAGGTTGCGTAGTCATTCAACAATATGAGTAATAGGACACGTGGCCAATCAACGCCGTTAAGCCGTTAGTGAAGCTCCGTTAATTTAACTAATTGCCGTCAGCTTTGATTTTTTTTAATCAAAAGAACCATTTTCCTATTGGCGAGGAAATTCACACAAGCTCTGACATTAATATCGGGAAATCAACTAACTTTGCTATTGTAATCCAATTAATGCATAATTTAAATTAAACACAACATTAAGAACGGCAATTCGAATTACAACACATACTTTGCTATTAATTTGCAACTAATTGAACACATTTCAGAATTTCAATGCGATTAAGGAGCGGGAAAAAGAAGTGAACTACTGTCTACTGACTTTGCGGTTGACACAGAAATGGACCGAAGGTACCAGATGTAGCTACTGTGCGGATGGAGAATTGATTGATAAGAGAAAATCGAATTATTGAACCGCTGCAGCATTCAGAATTAGTTGAAACAAACCCCAGATCCAGTTCAAAAATTGGTTGTGTTGGTTTATGTAATGGTATTTTTGTTTTATGTAATGGTAATAATACTTTCAATTATGTTCTGTGGAACTTGAAGCTTAACAAAACCCTGACTATTGGTTTTCCTCAATTTGTAAATTTAAAATGTGGTTTTACACATTTGGTTTCGGGATACCTCAGCAAATGGTGATTTTAAGTTTGGTTGGGTTATCTACTACACCAATGAATCCATTGAAGTTAGATTAGGTAATGCTTATGTGTATTCCCTCAATTTGGGTTATTGGAGGGAAGTTGTTAGTGCTTCCCTTTGCTTTGGCACTAGAAGTTGTTCAATTTATCTTGATGGAGTGCATGTGAATGGTGTTATTCATTGGAATGGGATTCGTCTTCCTGGAGCCATAGACTTTGACCCGGAATTGTTCCATTGGATGAAGCTGATTACTGTTCCAAAGAATGGTAGGGAGTGTCTTGGGTATATACATGATAATCAGTCGCCATTCGGTTATCAATCTATGGGTCGTGGAGGAGGATGGGGTAGCCGAGTCTTGGAGAATGATTCTTTCTCTGAATCGAGATGATGGCTTTGAAAAATTGATTCATGTTAGAGCCAATGGTGCAATTGTAGTGGAACTAGAGGATGAATGTGCCTGCGCATTGCTTAGCTAATTTGTCTCAAATTTACTAATTAGTTTTTACACCAGCTGATTGAGCTGAATACCTTCTCTTGCCAATGCAGCAACACAACATTTTCTATCTCATCACAAGTTTGGAAACAAAGCCTTTTAAGTGACAATATCATATAGAAAAGGAGCTACCAGCAACTTTTGTTATCTTGGCTCCATGATTGCTGGAAACATGTAAGAATATCTAGTTATTTTGGAAACAACCTAATGTTTTAATCTTAATACTAATCAGATGAATGGTTTTATAGATGTCATGTACGTTCATATGCAATGGTTGATGATCTAGTTAACTACTACTTATATATATATATATATATTAGTCTGGCTTTTCTACTGTATTCTTCATTTCAGTCACCACTAATCCAAGTAATCCGACCTGAATGAATCTCAGTAACTTGCTCAAACCCAACAAGCCTATAATATTTCAGAATACATATTCTCTGCAGTTTCTGTGAATTTGTAGTTGTAACTCTAGCAGATCTTGTGTAATGTAATCATATATAGTTGTAACTCTAGCAGATCTTGTGTCATTTATAGTTTATACTACCCATATTTCTAGCAAATGTAGCTGGAGCAGCAACAAGAGCTACAACATTATTCTTCCTTTCTAGACATGATTTAGCAGCCAAAGCGCGGCCTTAACTTCATAGCCAGGCCATCTCCTTTTGAACATGTACAGTCTTTGTATATGTCGTCCATCCCCTCATCCCTGGAGCCAAGAACTATTATGACGATTGAGATTTTCTATGAATCCTTATATACAGTAGCATTGAAGCACAGTGATCTTCTACAAGTATTGAAGAAAACTCTTTGTTCTCACTAGTCAAGTGTTTCCTAATTGACCCTGTTTTATTCAGTTGAAGGAGTAAAGTACTTCAGAGCCTAAGTTGGGCCTAGTAAAATAGTGATAATGACATTTTACTAAAAAAAAAAAAAAAGACCTTTGGTACCAAGTAAAGGATCAGATAGTACATGTAACTTGTAAGAGTAATGATTCTAATGAATCTAGAACAATTTTGTAGGTTGCCATCAATAATTTAATATTACTCCATTATCCAAGTTTTTTCATGTGAATGAATGGTGGTTAATGTTGTTTCCCTTGGCCTTTTGAGCTTACTTAAGACATTTTACTAGGTACCACATTATGAAGGTAATACTTTGTACGACATTATTAGATTGATTAGGCTAATGTTAAAACTGAATAACTGATCATTTATAATTGAAGGTTTTACATAGGGATAAAAAACTAAGATACTGCATATGAATTTTGTTCATTTTGTGAAAATAAATAAATCATTTGAAATACTTTTGTATACTTGAAAATTTTTATGAACACCGTATATGTGGTACAGAGAATAAAATTATGTATAAATTATATTGATGGAGTTACAATGTAGAATTTATATACTGCACAAAGATGTCAATAAATCGATTGTATCTTACAACCGGGTATCATATACAAGACACAAAGTAATTATATTTAATATTTACTCACTTGCATGAATTTTTGCTCATTTGCACACTATTAACATTATTTTTTTCCAAATACGGAGTAAGCAATATTTTTTCCAATTCATTTGTACAACATGAGCAATTTATTACCAACCAAAAATCATAGGAATTTTAAATTTTCTTATTGCCAACCAAACAAGTTTAGAAAATTCATAGGAATATCAATAGGGAAATAACTTTCCACAAAACGCAATTTCTTACTAGAATTTAATCTCCATGTCAATCAAACGAGTTCAAAAAATACATTTCGATTTTTTCAATTAAAATTGTCCTACCATCTTACATAATTGGTCTTACTAAGACAGTGCTACGCAAATATTTATGGTAATTGAAACAGGGTGATTTCAATCAATTAAAATTGTCATACCGTCTTACAAAAATTGGTCTTATTAAGACAACGCTACACAAATATTTATGGTAATTGAAACAGGATAATTCCAATCAATTAAAATTATCATACCGTCCTATAAAATTGATCTTACTAAGATGGTACACAAATGTTTACGGGAATTGAAACGGGGTAATTCTAATACGGAGTAACTAGTGAGGGTTAAAAAGGAAAAGGTTAAAAAAAAATGGAAAGAGCAAGTAGGGGGCAAAAGGACAAGAAAGGAAAGTTATGATATCATCAATTTATCGTCTTTACTTCCTCCCTCCATTCCAATCTCTCTCATTTATTTTCTCCCTCCACCTTCCTCTTTCCTTTCTTCCTTCCAACTCTAAAACAAATCTTCCCTTTTTTTCCCAGAAAACCCAAACCAACCCCTCTTCTTTTTCTCTCTCTTCTTCATCTTTCACTCTCCTACTTCCACCAATCTTCAATTAACAAACAATCAAACAAACCCCACAAAAAAAAAATCGTAAATTGGTTCATCAATTTCCCCAATCTTCAATCAATTGAATTGAAGATTGATTGTCAAATTCACCAATGTTTTAATCAAATTAAATCCCCTTTTTCTCAAACCAAAAAACACCCAATAATTAGAAATGATCCGAATGTTGCAATCTCACTACATTTTGATCTTCTCTCTAATCTTATCTCTTCCAATGTTCTACTTCTTTGCTCCTCATTTTCTCTCTCCTCACCCTCGCCAACTCCCAATTCCTCGCCCAGATGAACTGGAAGATCTTTCCCTCTTCAATCGTGCAATTTCATCTTCATTCTCTTCGCCATCTTCGTCTTCAACTTTTTCGTTTTCCAGATTAGGGTCTCACAACCCAACTTTGAAGATCGCTTTCCTGTTCCTAACACACACTGATCTCTTCTTCTCTCCTTTGTGGGATCGTTTCTTCAATACTAGTTCACCTAAACTGTTCAACATCTATGTTCATGCTGACCCAGATTCTCATCTCAAAGACCCAGGTGGGTTTTTCGATGCTAGATTTATACCAAGTAAGCACACTGAACGATCTTCTGCTACTTTGATTTCTGCTGCTAAAAGATTAATGGCAACTGCTATATTAGATGATCCTTTGAATTTCTATTTTGCGTTGGTTTCTCAATCCTGTATACCTTTACATTCGTTTGATTATGTGTATAAGACCCTTTTAGGTGGGGGGAGTAAGGGGAATGCTTTTGGATTTCGACATGTTCGTCATAAGAGCTTTATTGAGATTCTAGACAATGAGACTATTCTTCCCTCGAGGTATGTTGCTCGAGGGAAGAATGTGATGATGCCTGAGGTACCTTTCGATCAATTTCGGGTCGGGTCACAGTTTTTTGTGTTGACTAAGAAGCATGCTTTGATGGTTTTGAAGGATAGGAAATTGTGGAGGAAGTTTAGGCTTCCTTGTTATAAGACTGAATCATGTTACCCTGAAGAGCATTATTTCCCTACATTGTTGAATATGAAAGATCCTAATGGTTGTACTCAATATACTCTTACAAGGGTTAATTGGACTGATAGTGTTAATGGACATCCTCATATGTACCGTCCGCCTGAGGTGTCGCCCGAGTTGATCTATACTCTTCGGCAGTCTAATTATACTCATGATTACTTGTTCGCGAGGAAGTTCTCACCCGATTGCTTGAAGCCTTTGATGGAGATGGCTGATACTGTTATCTTCAATGACTGAGCAATTTTGTTTGTGATGTCTGGTGAGTGAGCAATTTCTTTGCTTTTCTATACTTTCTAAGTTCTTTCATCTTGTCTATGATTTGATTTGATATAATTTACTTTGTGCCTTTCATCAAAATGAGATTTTTTGGACTTACATCATAATGTAGGATACTTATTAGTTTTTTTTTTTTTAGTATGAGTACAACTTAAGTACTCCAGATTTAAATGTGTATTGCTTATCAACAAAAACTAAAAACCAATGTGTCCTGTTTAGGATTAGGTTTCTGCTAATTGTGATTCTGCATCAGGAGATTTTATCTTCTAGATTTATGTCACTGGCTGGCGTGCTGTTCTAGTGTAGTTTGATGTTGAGTAGCTGTAAAATGTGAACATTTTGAGGAAGGCTTTAGGTCAGGGTCACTGCTTGTGTAGTTAGTGTTTAGAACCTTGGATATAAGGTTCTTTGCAAGTGAACTTGAAGGATTGTCTTGTGGAAGTACGGGATCTCTGCAGGGCTGCTTTAAATTTATGGCAACTTCTTTGGAAAATACTCGATAGCTCCACAGTAACCATGATAAAATGATATAATTAGAGCATTTGGAAATTCTTTTATAATGTCGGTGACCATAGAATTTGCATCTGCACAAATTTCAGCTAATTGCATTAGGTTGTATAGGCTGCTTGCTGTTGATTGTCGTCTTTCAGCGATTACCTATTGTAGTTTTTAGTCATAATTGACTACAAATTTAATACAACTGTAGAAAGAAAATTAAATGGAGCATGGTGGTCCATCAGATGTGAATTAGACGTGGCTTAATTGTTTTCCTCGCAAACTAACTGATAAATGACTAGTTCATTCCCCTTTCTTACCTGAGCTATCGTTCCTGGCCCCACTTTTTTCCGCTTTCACTATTATCTTCCCATAGGCGGCCCTCCTAGAGTTTTTGTACCTATTCTCAGCTTAAACTCACATGCTAAGTCTTTGGGTGTTAATTTTGATCAGTGTTGCTTTGAGGCAGTAGTTTCTTTTTTACTCGCATAGTAATTAGCAAATGATAATGTTTTGAGGAGTTCATCATTGAACTTCTTTGCATTAGATTGTGATTGTACAGGTTTCTTGTCATCTTTCAATTATTAGTCAAAATAGGGCTTTCTCACAAATGATGACAAATTAGCATAGCTGTAGAGAGAAAGTAGAGGGGGAACATAGTGGTCCATTAGATTGCTAACAAGACATGGATTTCCTGCTTTCCTGCAAGCTGACAGATATCTCATCTATTCATTTCTCTTTTCATTTGTGTGTAATATCGTTAGGAATAATGCTGACAATTTTCATGAACTTGCAATCCAATCCCTGAGTATGAAATTATGAAGAAAATCACATACTTGGAGTGAAATTGCATGACCACTTACCATATACATTGGAATAGAATTTTATCAGAAAATTACACTAACTCAATATCGTTATCACATCACTATACATCACAGCCATTATTTAATTAGTTTAATACATTACATGCTCTTGATCTTAAACCATTTGGTGTTCGTGTTTATCTGAGTTGCTCTGATTATGTTTTGGCCAATTCTTTTCAGGTCTTAAATTTTGTTTTCTTGAATGGGGAGAGGATCTGTTGTAGCAACACCTCTGATGCTTTCCCTTGAGCCATCAGTAATTATCTTGAAGCTGCTCAACTGGAAAATCAACTGCCAACAGCAAAATTACCCTGCTGGTATGTTGGTTCAGAAATGTCTTGAATTATACAATACCACGGCAATAAGAGCTAGCTTGACGCTCTTTGTTGTTAGAAGTGCTAGTTTTTTTCTGTACATAAATGGTAAAGAATGTGTTTGTACCATATCATATCAAGTAGCATGAATATTCGACGGGGGCGGGGCTATCGACCTTTGTTGATATGTAGTGGAATTCGCAAGTCCCTTGCTCTTAGCCTGTCTGCTCAATGTAGGCGTAGAGAGAACTCAAAATTCCGTATGGCTTTTTATAAGATATGCTCAATCAGTGTTAGAATGATGCCTCAAGGCCTCAATAGTAAGCTTCGTTTTGGTTTCTTTTTCTTTCTGTTCAATGTTCTCTTCTTTTGACCCCTATTTTTCTGGTCATTTCAACACTTTTGACTAATATCTGAGAATCTCATGTTGAATGATATAGCTTATTTTATTACAAGTTGATATTTTTTTGTAAGATGTTGAATGAAATCTCTTTTTTAAGTCAGCATTAGTTTCACCAAATATAGCTATCAGTCGACTAATTTATTAAATTCAAACATACCCTACATTTGGATGTTTGCTTTTTGTCAATTATTATTGTTGTTTTTGTATCTATCATCCTTAACTTATACAGAATAATCCGTAGTAGTTGATGTGAAAATTTAATATAATGATATAATGATGCTTAACATCACTTTTATACATCCCAAAATTGTGTTAGAATAATGTTTCCAGCCTTCCAGGTTTCTTTTAACTTTTATCATGTGTTTAGAATGTTTAGCTCTTGATTGTGAAGCACTTTAATCATACTAAATATGATGTGGTTTTGTTTTCTTAAAGTAATTGTAAATTGATTACACTCGCTTTCAAATTAGGGATGTTTATCGCTTTCGAAAGTCTTATCTCAGATGACAAATTATTAGTAGATTGATTCTTAGTAAAAGTTATTTTCTTAACATTTCTCTATATGTATTTGATGTTGAAAAGCAAAAACATCTTTTATGGAGTAGCATATAGGGCAAAGGTACTCGTAGTATGCTTAATAATACCTCCGTTACAGGTTATGTGCAACGATTAGACATTTTTCCTCTCTGCTTTATGTCAAATCGTTGCACATAGCCTGTAACGGAGATAGTAATATAAATAAAAACTCAATATAATAAGTTTTGAATTTCCCACACTAGACATATAAGAAGTACTTGGAGATCTATATATATCTTTCAAGTAAAATGTTGAAAAATTGGTCCATAACATTTCTAACTTGTAGATCTATAGTACTACATGTGAACCTAAATTAAAAGATGTTACACAAGGACGGAAAGTGGGGCTAACGACTATAATGAGGTTGACATATTTTTTGGTACTATAGTTTGGTGAGTTGATGACAACTGATGATAACAATAAGCCAACTACCCAATCTTTTAATTAATCATATAATTAACTAATATTTGTTTGAATTATTATCACTAATCAATCAAATATTGCGCTTTTATAGAGAACACCAATGCAAACAACCTCCTTTTAAATCATTTTCATACTATGAGAGAATATAGGGCCAACTGCCCCTAAGGTATTTGTTTTATCATGTTTCATCTTTGATTAGTTCATGCATGAAGTATTTCATTATCTCTTTTATTTGCTATTAATTATAACTTGGTTCAAATATGCTGCGTCATCTATATATTTGACTCTTGATCTATACTAATTACTAAGTAGTACTCCATCATCAATTTATTTTTTGAATTGGGAACTCGCGAAATTGATATAAAATGATAATTTTTGATCACCTACTTTTCCTTACGGTTTATTCTTCTACACCGTAGTTTCTTAAAAGAAAATGTCAAGGCTAATAAGTAGGAATTAGATTTACACCCTCTTCTTATTGATTAGTCTTCACTCGTTAAAATTCTACATGATTCATTTTATTACTATTACATAGAAGAGTTTAATGTGAAATCTTGTAACATATGATGTGTACACTCTGTATATTATCACTACTTATGCAGTAACCATAATACTACGAATGTATAATTTTCAAAGGTTTGAAACTATGATAATCTAAATTCTAGTGGGTGCTTGGACTTTCACATTAGCAGCATATATTCAATTCATTCACCAAAGTTAAGCAGCAAAGCATTTTGGGATATGACATCAATAATTTTTCTTTTCACAAGAATCAAATTGAAGCCCATTTGGAAATATACAAAGAGCATGGGCCTACTGGCCTATTGAGATTTCAGCCTTTGGTCTATGTCATCACTAAACTGCTTAAAAACATTGCCCCTTTGCCTTACTTTGACAATTGGTCAACAGCGATATTACACGGTACTTCATCCGTTTCAGAATAATTTGACATAATTTTATCTTTTTCTTTTTTCAAGTACTCACTTTGACTACAGTTTTTTTACTACGTGTCAGAAACAAATGCTAATATATCCATCGTAAAATGTTGCCAAATAGATGTTAATATAAAATTTCATACTCGTAAGTTTTAATACTTAATTATACAGTATTTATGGTCAAACTATGTTTGCAAGTTTGGAATATTCATTGATTTACATCAAGCAAGATATTCAATCCCTTCAATTAAAAATTTTCCAAGTTCTTTTCTTTTAACATAGTCAACACATACAAGAATATGCCATTGAGAAATTGGACTTTGTGAAGGAGTCCTTGCGAAAGAGAAAACGAAAACCAAAGACTCGTATCAATGGATTGAACACTTAGTTAATATCAAGTGTCTTCAATTGATGGTGAAAGCAAGTCTTGCATTTCAAGCCGCGGTCAATAATGTTCTTCATCATCAACATTTGTACATTGTAGGTGAAGATACCAGGGATTGTAAAGAATAATGAATCGTCGAGTAAATATCAGCTAAAAACTAATCAGGAAAGTCTTCATTGTGGTCTGCAAAGGAATTGCAAGAGTCATTTATGAAGATACATTGGTGATGTTGAAGTAGACAGTTTTCTGTTGGTAACTATTCATAGCATAATCAACTTGGAAGTGGCCAAATGGTGATTTGAAGCGTAAGCCATATCCTATCCCAACTCCGCTTCCTGGTTTGCCTTGTCGCAAGGCTGGATTTCCTGTCATATCCCAACCAAAAAAGTTGTAACTTAATTCCCAGCTAAGTCTAAATTTGCAGAGAAAAGTAATGCAGCTTCAAACAAAATCTTCGAATATATCTACATCAGAGAGATCAGAAAGCAAGCTCTGAAAAAGTATAGGTGAAATGCTTCAAAATAGATGGAACATACCAGGAACAAGCCGACCAGAACCCAGATCAGATCCGTAATCTAAGAAAATTGCACCTTCTAACATTTTGCTCTGGAGATAAGAGAAAGGAAAAATTCTAAGGGCTACATAGAACATGCCAACAAATCAAAACATAAATAAAATTGTCAGAACATGCAATTACTCCGAGATAGAGAGGAGACCTGGGGGGACAGTTTGAAGCAAATATAGTAACAAGTCAATAATCTATCATACATCTTGTTGCCACCAATTAAAAGTCCATGTAACATTGTATTAGGGAGGCTCATTCAATGACGGCTCATATAATCAAGCTAATTGGATGTTACCTTTTTTTTTAAAACTCATAATTGGATGTTACTTAGGAGTACTAGCTGATCTAGGATGATCCTAAACGTCATTAACCTACATGAAAACAGACAACAATTACAATATTCTGGAACTGTGGCTGTGTGTGGCACACATAAGGTCCAACCAAAGTACGAGAATGAAACATTAAGCCTAAGCAGAAGAGGGGAAAAAGGGTCAAATGACAAGAAGAAATTATCCAGGTGACACAGTTAATTGCAAAACTGCCAGGGAGTCAGCAACATGGTTTATAAAATAGCTACAGAAACACCTCATACGTAAATTTGCTAAGTGTGAAAGCAAATACTTACCAACGGGAACGTTAAATCACTGTTGGCAACCAAACATGATCTTCCAGTTCCAACAGCACCTTCACCATACCCTCTAACACTACCAAGACCACCAATAGCAAATGCTTGGTAAGGAGCCATATCCCCCACAATGGAACCTCCAGTAATACTGTTGAGAATTTCATGTAATTAAAGATGAGAAAATAATACCTACAACAAGCATCTATACATGCATTCGTGTTTCAGAAATGAACGCGGACTAAAACTCTAACAAACATGGGTGCAGAGATTATATTGTCCAATGTGATAATGATTCTGATGATTCAAATTGTGGAAAGGAGAATTACAATGTAACTGCAATTGAGTACAGACTAGTCTAGCTCAAACTTTATCAGAATTCAGGAAATAATCCTACGTCAGACTGTCAGAGCAAATATCGGAATCACAATGATGTTAAAGATGTGTATTATGCGAAGAAGCTTAACACCAGCTTGAATGAAATGTTCTAGATTTAGAGGGAGAAGACACTAATCAGTAATAGAGGGATTGTTAGAGCTCGGGCACTAATTGATAGCGCCAGTGTAGGACAAGAAAAATGAACAGGGGATAACTGCAACAAAAAAAGGAACAGGATCTAACTATTATTTTTATATTACAATTACCAAAAGGAATTAAATTTATCCAAGATTGCAAATATGTGAATTTTAAGCTGACTTCAATTCTTTACAGTCAAATAAGTTGATCAATCTCTAAAATCTATATTATTAAATTGCATCATTGAACTATGTCATCAAAATTCTTTTTTCAACCTCCAAACATAAATTACAACTCCATTAGTTCCTATCTCTCGGTGCTCACCTTGTCAATAAAATAGAAGGCCCAAGTTTGATACCCTTAGTGCCAACAAACTTGAATCGGTTAAAAACAAGCCATTTGGACAAAACTGGAACTCCTTGTTCTATCTGCAAGCTGAACTGAAATAAAAAAAAAAAAAAAAAAAAAAAAAAAAAAAAAAAACAAGAACAATTAAGTAATATGCAGCAGAAACTCATATCTCATTTCCTTAACACTTTGTTTGGATTGAAGGAAATAGAGGGAAAGGAAGGGAAGATAAATTGAGGGATATATAATTTCTCATTTGGATAGCAAATGAGGAAGGAAGAGAATTGGAGGGGAAAGAAATGGAGGGATAGAATTGCAAGAAATTGATCTCTTCAACAATGGAGAGATTTGGAAGGAAAACTCTTCATTCTTCCCTCCCCTCCCCTTCCCTTCCCACCCCTTCTCCTCCCTCCCCTTCTTTTCCTTCCCCCTAATCTATCCAAACACAATGTAAGTAATTTGTGGTAAGAAGTTCACATCTTAGATCATAAGTTGAGAATAATACACGACTAAAGAAATTGTCATTTGCCCTGGCGTAACGAGTTTCTTGTTTTAACACCACCATACTATCATGGGTGCCTCCGCTGTACACAGGACATTTCAAAGGGATAGGAAAAACAATTGTCAAAATTAGTGCCTTGGAAAGCATACCACTAGACAAGTTTAAATACAAACTGACGTGGATAATCTCAATAACCTGCAAGTCACCGGAAAACCATCAAGATCTCGGTTTATAGGGCGTCCTTCATCGCTCATAGGGCAAACATGCTGCACAGGATACCATAAATATTTGACAAAAAAATTCATATAAAAACTCGTACTTGAGTTCACAAATGACTCAATTTTTAATACACAAAGCAAAATTTTCAATTTGTGGCATGTTACCTCACCTCAAATTTTACACTGGTTGTACTGCTCCAATTGGAGCTAGCAGGCTCACTCAATTCTAAACCCACGGAGGAGCGACAGAGATTTACACCCCCACTCCCAGATTGTGAGAAGTTATCGACGGGCAAACCATGAACTCCAATCTCAGGTGAAATAGAATGCTGATTTTCCAGAGAAATATTTGCATAAGAAATTCCACCCAACAAATGCCCAAATGGTCTAAAAATGCTTAACAAAAGTAATTCGCTACTCGAGAATTTTAATAATCATCATCCAACTCGAAAACTATGATAAGCAGTGATCAAACCTGAACCACAACAGACTGCTGAGGAAGCCATTCAGGCCTAGGCCTCCTATAAGCCACCACAACATTTGTGTCATACAATCCTTTGTCCCAAAACACATCAAGCTTCTCACTTCCACCAAATAAATTAGGGTGCTTAATGCATAAACTGCCATAAAACACATATTAATTTCATAATTTTCCACAAATTTAAGCATATAATTATCAAAGCTTTTAACCTCCAATATTCCAAGTTTTATAATTTATTACCTCCCAATAACTAATGAAAGAGGACCTCCAGAATTCCTATTGCAGAAATTAAATAAAAATGCATATTAATAACATGATCAATTAATTAACAAGACTAAAAATTTGCTGGTATTAATATGAATTAAGAGATAAAGATGGAAACCTGAAAGGGGGCAGCATTAAAGCAGCGCATAGCTTGTGACTCAAATCTACATTGACATCAATTTTGGCTGACGAACAACAAAATTATAGAATATAATTACCAAATTGCAAATGCTGAATACCCAGTTCATTAATTGTCCATATTAATTTAGTAAAATTAAATTTTTTAAAAAAAAAATTGAGAATTGAAAGAGAAAAAAGAACTGACCTTTACCAGCATGGATGCTCTTCTGAGCTCCCATGAATAATGTCTGACAACAATCATGAAAAAATTGAACCCGAAAAAATTTGAAATGAAGGCAAGCAATTGCAGTGTAAAATTATAAAGGAGATGATAAAGAGAGAAGAAAGGTTGTGTTGGAGTAGCATATGGGTTAGAACTTAGAAGTTGTCTCTTTCTTTCTCCTTGGGCTTTCTAACTTCTTGAATTGTGCTCTTTTTTTTTTTCTTCTAAAATTTCAATTGCTTTTGCATAATTCATAATGGGGTGATTTGCCAAAACAATACAAGTATAATATTTCGTAACATAAACTAATTCCTTATAGGCTTATATACATTGATTTAAAAAGTTCTTCTCACAATACCATTTATTGACTCGATTTTAAGGTTTGACATTAATAAGTGTAAAACTGTTAATAATATTGACGGTTTTAACTAATTTAGAACCTTTATGGTAGTATTAGACTATTAGAGATTAACAGTTCTATATAATTTGGTTTTTACCATTACTAATATTATACTACGTATAATCAAGCAAGAGTGAAAAAGCTAAAGTAAATGATTTTTTATTTTTTTTTAATAGAGCTAAAGTAAATGATTGATATGAAGATTCTACCGATTAATTAATGATACTATGCAAAGATTATGCTTATCTCATTTTGTATCTAATTTTCTAATTTGTTATTACTCTCATTAAAGTTTGAAAGGGGTCACATTGAAAATATTTGAAAGAATTAGACTATGTTCTATTGGACTTATTTTTAGTCTTTTAATTTAGTTTAATTCACTTTAATTCAAATCCATTAGGTTCATAATTTTTCAATTTTTGAAATTCAAGTACGTTTATTATATAGTGTTGTATTTAATATTCTATATATTCAAAATTTGGGATTGTTTAAATTGTTTTTACTAAAAGTTCAAATTTTGCGATTGTTTAGATTTTTTACTAAATGTTCAAAAGTATAAGCGTGGTGTATTGCGAATTTGCGATTTTTTTTTACTAAATATTCAATTTTGTTGATGTTTAGATTCTTTACCAAATATTTAAAATTTACAATTGTTAATTTTTTTTTTTTTTACTACATGTTCAAAAGTAGTGGCATGGTGTAAAGAAGAGTCTATTATATATACGAGAAGTGAAGAGTCATTTGCTCATTTAATCAACAAATAAGTAATTATCCGGACGTATATAACAAATTCTACGCGTAGGGTGCGCTAGAATTTGCGCTATACACCCACAAATCACAATTCGCATTTAGCAAACCCCACAAAAGCATGAACTCAGCACATACGTGGGACTCAACCGAGCTAACTCGGAAGGCATAAACTCACTCTCATTTTTCTCCCAACTTCTATTCTATTCATCCACTACCGCTGAAACAGGCAGCCATTGCCATTTGCCAAAGCCCAAAGAAAGGCGCCTCCTTTTTGCATCCTTCTTCAATACAAGAAAAGATTTGGGAAGAAAAATTCAGACTTTTTTTATGGGTAAAGGAGAAAAAACAGGGCTTGGAAGAGCCCTAGTTAAGCACCATAATCATGTTGTTGAGCAAACCAAAGAAAAAGGTCGCTTTTACAAAACCCACAACAAGAAAGCCCTAATTTCTGTTACTGATGTTTCCGACATTGATGCTGTTCTTGAACAAGCTGATGAAGCTGACCGTGTCTTCACTGCCGACAACCCTGTTCCTCAATTACTCGTTGATTCGTATGTCCTTCCTCTCTTTATTAATTTAATTTTCCTGTTTTTATCATTATTGTTTTAATTTTGTGCTTTTCTCTTGTTAATTGTGTGATTAGTGGTTTGATTTGGGTTTAAGGGTTCTTGGGAAAGATAGAAATTTTTATGTTTATTGGGGATTTTCTGATATGGGTTTAAGGGTTTTAAGAAAGATAGAAATTTTGTTTATCGGGGATTTTTGGGATGTTAACTGCTGAACTTTATGTTTTTCTTGAACTCATTTGTATTGGTAAATAAAGTTTATGCCATTTCTGGTTTTAGATGGAAATGTTGTAAGTTTCATGAGGTAGGTTTGAAGTGCAGAAAGAACAATTTCTTTGTCTTTTAAATGCATATTAGGTCAGGTAGAAGATAAGCTCCTTATCAATTGATTTGGTGCTGTTCTCCTCTATGTTACATGATTGATATCTGTCATGCATAGGTGTTGTTTACTGGTAATGAAATGAATTGATTGTTGTTAGTGGTGACTTTTTACCTAGGACATTCACTTGGGACAATCCGTGTCAAAATATACACACAATCTGATCAATGAATGTCACTGCCTCCCGGATATGAGGCCTTATGGAAGTTATAGTATTCAGAAACAGGAACACTTGAGTTTTCAACTCTTGAAAATTTGCTATTAATTTTATTGATTTTTTCTACTGTCATTTCTAGTATGCTCACTACTACTGCTATTGTCTAGCATGTTAAGGTCAGCCTTGTGAAAAGCTGCTTTGCTGATCTATCTTTGAATTGCAATCATGTCGCACTTATATCTTTTGGTTCCAATGATGGATCATATTATTAATTCTGTATGTAGGGACTCTAGTTCAAGCATCGCTGCCTTGACACCTGATCAAAGGAGGAAGCAACAGAAGAAAGAGGAGGAATTGCATGCTGGCAGCCTTCGTGTCCCTCGAAGGTAACTACTGTCGCCTACCTCAGATTAAATTTTTTGTTCTTATTCTTGATTGAGTTTAAGTGAGCTGTGTTTTTTCTTCTGTAGACCGCCATGGACTGCCGAGATGACAGTAGATGAGCTTGATATCAATGAAAAGCAAGCCTTTTTAACATGGCGTAGAGGCCTTGCCAAGTAAGTTCCATTTTAGTATTTATTGTGCTTCTTTTTGAAGTCTGTTATTTGATCAGTAGATGTCATATTCCTATTGATAGTTTAAATTTCACCTAGAAAAAGAGGGGAATAATGTATTTTCCATATCTTTGAAAAATTTGCTCAGTACGTGTAATATATATTCTTCCACTGAACCATCTCTTGCATGATGTACTTTATTCAAACTAATCTGCCTCATATCAAATGTGCTTTACAGTCTAAAATGCATAGGAACTTTCATTTATCAAATTGCATAATTGATGACGAATTGAGTGTATCCAATATGCCTCGGATTCATATTATGTTCAGAAAATCATTCTCTTTGTTCACACTAGGCGGGTGAAGACCTCGTTGATATAAGCTTTAAGGTTGTCTTACAAAATGCTCTACATTTTGAACCAGTTTCCCTTTGCCTTGTTCACCGTATGCCCCTGAATTTTATCATATATCTTTTCCTTAAATTTTTAAGCCCTTCAATCCAATCCCTTCTAGATTGCATCATTGCTGGTGTCCTGGAGAGTGAAAGAGAGATGCCAGAGAAGAGGTTGAGTTTGGTGCTGGAATGAAGGAAGCTGGACTGATCACCAGGCAGCTCTTTCGCTCTATAGGGGTCAAAAGAGGAGCAAGTTTCGGGATGGGGAGTTAGGTGGGGAGGGTGTTAGGGTAAGAGGCATAAGTTGAGGCTGAGGAGCTGAATGCAGAAGGGAAGAGAAGTTGAGTGGGGGCTGGGGACTTAGAAGTGGAGGTTTCAAAGGGAAGAATAGGAAGAAGTTGGGGGTTGTGAGCAGTATGTTGTATAAGGGAAGCGAGGTTGGGGTTCGTGTGGGTTGGAAGAAAAGGTTAGATCGGAACATTAATGGTGAAGGTTTGGTTTGGGTTAAGGAGTTATGAGGGTTATTAGTGAATAAGGCATGTAAGGCCGTAAGGGTGACTTTCAACATGCAGTTAAGAGTTTAGGGGTGAGGCAAAGGTCAAGTAAGGGCAAGGTTGTATAAGGACATATATTATAAAGATAGGGGTTAAAATAAGGATTAGATAAAGCCACGAGTAGTTATGGGTGGTTTTGACTCCTTTTGAGTACGAACTACGAAGCACTCAATCCTTGGCTTTTTGTTGTTGGGGATATGAATGACATTATGAGTCAAACTATGCTGAGCAAGCTATTTAAATATAGAAGAATTTCTTAAGTTTATTTTCAGTGGACCATGTGTTTGTTCCTTAGATTCTGTTATATAAAGGATCTTCAGGGAGTATTCTATCAACAGTATAAATTATGGTCGTTTATTTTTATAGTTAAAGCCAACTTCTTGTCGCTGGAACATTTCTTGCTGCTCTGTGGTTGTACTTTGATTAAATTGGTGGAACATGTAACTAATATTTGTGGAAATAATGTTGTTGTAGACTTGAGGAGAATGAGAAGCTTGTCCTTACTCCATTTGAGAAGAATTTGGATATATGGAGGCAGCTTTGGCGAGTGGTTGAACGTAGTGATCTGGTAAGTGTGTTATTAAGTGTCAAAGCTTGCTTGAAAAAAAAAAGGAAAAAGATACGGTATTTCAATCTTCCTTATAGGATTATAATCTTTTTGTGGTCATATAATGTGGGTTTCTTTGTAATGTTTCATGGTTTATTTTTCAAAGTTATTTGACCTACAGATTTTTTAATTGCTCTCAGATTGTTATGGTCGTCGATGCAAGAAACCCTCTGTTTTACCGTTGTCCCGATCTTGAGGTATCATCCCTTCTATACTGAACTGTTTGTGTGAACTTATCATGAGCTATTTGTGCCCACTTTCTGTATTTTTATATTTTGCTTAATGTTTTTTTTTTTTTTTTTTTTTTTTTTTTTTTGCTTTAGGCATATGTACAGGAGGTTGATGAGCACAAAAGAACAATGCTGCTTATTAACAAGGCTGACCTTTTACCATATTCTATCAGGTTCTTACCTCATAAACTTTGGTGGGTTTTGTGCCCTTGCTGTATTTCTGATTATTAATGATCTCGTTATCATGTACAGGCTAAAATGGGCAAAATACTTCCATGATCATGGAATACTCTTTGTATTTTGGTCAGCTAAAGCTGCTTCTGCAGCTCTTGAAGGGAAGATGCTTAGCGTTCCAAAGCATATGCAAGAAGATACATTGCAAGAATCTGAAGATGTTGATACAAAGATCTATGGCAGGGATGAACTGTTGGACCGCTTACAGTTTGAGGCAGAGGAGATTATGAGATTGAGGAAATCAGGCCCTGAAGCTGCAAGTTCCTCTCATTTTCACTCCTCAGTTGGAAATGCCGGAGTACATTTAGCATCAAATGGTGTGACTGTGGGGTTTGTTGGCTACCCTAATGTAGGAAAGAGTTCAACCATCAATGCTTTGGTTGGAGCAAAGCGTGCAGGTGTCACCAATACTCCAGGGAAGACAAAACATTTTCAGACTTTGATAATATCTGACAAGCTTACTTTATGTGATTGCCCTGGACTTGTTTTCCCGTCCTTTACAAGCTCAAGATATGAGATGATTGCTTGTGGGGTTTTGCCTATAGATCGAATGACTGCACATCGAGATGCGGTACAGGTGGTTGCAGATAAAGTCCCAAGACATGTAATTGAAGAAGTTTATAAGATCACTTTGCCGAAACCCAAGCCTTATGAGCCTCAGTCTCGCCCTCCATTAGCAGCAGAGCTTCTAAGAGCTTACTGTGCTTCTCGGGGGTATACATCTTCAAGTGGGCTGCCCGATGAAACTCGGGCTTCTCGTCAAATGTTGAAGGACTATATTGATGGGAAGCTTATGCACTATGAGCTACCTCCTGGGGTATCAGACGAGAACAGAGAGAAACATATAGCTGCTGCTGCTGCTGCTGCTTCGAGCTTGTCAGACATCGAAGAATCTGAATCCTCTGATGCTGAAGATTCATCTGTTGAATTTGAAAATGGACCGAATCTTCAAGATGTAATGGATGATCTTCAATCCTTTGATCTT